TTTCACAGCAGCAGATCTGAATGGTTGAGTGAGATGGCATAGGAAAGGAGCAGGAGTAACATCGCCCAGATTTCAAATTGTGTGAGAAAGAGAAATATCTTAATACCCTGAAAATACTGTTGTGTTTGCTGGTGGCAGGAAGCAATTCAAAAACATTTATACTGGGAAGTGAAGAAGGAAGAGAGAAAGATGTAGTCAGGGGTTAGTTCAGTAGAACATAAAGTCTAACCTATATGCTTCCAGAATTGCTTACTGGAGTGAAGACACTAGAACTAAAATTACATTTTTTTCTTTCTTTTTAAATAAGTAAAACTGTTATGCTTATTGGCAAGCAGCCAGTTGTTTATTGGCAATTGCTTTATTTTCAGATGCCAATTTATTCCCTAAATGTCCTTGGGTTGAGACCACTGACCTGTTAAGGGGGTAATCCACTGGCCAGCACAGAATTGCCCCTTAGGTGAACTTCATTTGTAACATAATGGAGATTTGCATGCTCTGTCATAACAGGAATGCTCCAAACTGGTTTAACACTCAAGCCATGAATGTTATCTGTTGTCTATCTCCCCTCCCAAAAAAATGTGGATGAGTTCTGCTTTTCAGATTCTCAGGAGAAATACAAAGATCTCTGCCAGTTGCAGATGTGTTCTATTTTTTCCCCTACATCAGAGCTTCTGAATCATCCTTAATAAATAAGCAAAGGCTATTCATACCAAATGGGGAAGTGCTCACACACTATGATGATAAAGCATTTCATCCATTAAAAAAAAAAAAAAAGAAAAAAAAAGCACTACCCACAGAACTGCAACATCACATCATCTGCGCTTTGCTGAATGTTCACAGAACAGCACTGGAAGTTACTGAAGTGTCAGATAGTGATTTCATCATGTGTCAGGCCTCCCACTAATAAATGATTCATCTTTCTCAGTACTGACACCTCAAAGAATTAAGGAAGAGAAGAAAGAAATTCATAAACTTTAAAGTGAGAAGTGCTCTACTGATATTACACTTCCCAAGTAAACAGAAGCTTATGCACACACTAAGAATGTGTTTAGAATTTAACCTTTCATTTATTTGAAGTGTACTTCTAAGTTTTAAAAGTGAATCTATTACAGAAAAAAAGGAATCATGAAATTCCATGTGTATCACCACAATACACAGAGGTAAATTGGTCAATTTACAAATACGAGATTTCACACACACACCCTCCCTCAGCTTTGTGAACTGAAACTTGAACTGGGAGGAAATCTTCTCTGGTTTACACAGCAGTGATTAAGCATATGTTGGTGACAATAAGCCTGACCCAACTTCTGAGTACTTGATTACATCTGTAGAAACAAATCTAGCTCTTCTTGAAGGAGATGGGTGACTTACAATTGTCTCTAATGGAAATGGGACTGGAAGGAAATGTGCCATTTTGATCAGAATTTACATAATCATTCCTGGATGCTTTGTAAAACCAGAACATCTTCCATTGATGACAATGGCTCTACTGAATGAACGGGACTAAGTAGTAATCCAAACTTACTTCTCCCAGAAGGTATGAATTCAAAACACAAATCCAAACCAGGTAATGTACTTAGCCAGATACTACCACTTTTGCTTGGTTTGCTAGGCCACTGAAGTTTGTGTAGTCACACACCAAGTTTCTAGTTGATTTTCTTCTATTTCAACAAAATGAAGTAGAGATACAGATATGTCAAATTCCCACATTCTTTGTAACGAATAAATAGCTAGAAGAAGAAAGAGATTCTGAAAGTGACACAACTAAAAAGCAAATCCTGTAACATAAAATTAAACCTATGAAACATTAAAGAATCCACAGGGGTGAGAGACCTAACAAATGACCATACTGCAGGAAAAAAGAGACAACTGTAATTCACTATGAAACCATGAGGCACTGACCTGTGGAAAACCAGGCTTTGCTGCTTCTGCCACTAATGGAGCTCCTTTGGCTGTAGGTGCGGTTTGGTGTTTTTTCTCATCAAAATGGCATCTATTATAAACAAAACACTTCAATCAGCAGACTCAAAGCAGGAGGAGCATATGGTTACACAATTTATCCCACTTGATTCCTCTTCTGGAGCAGGGAAAAAAATTAGATGAAGATGCTAAAGTCTGGACTTTGACTCAGAGACCCATTCTCACCAGAATTAGGCTGGCAGGAAAACTGCCTGGGACAGAAGAAAGCCACAAGCCCCTGATGTCTCATGCCCAAAGCAGGTACTTCTGTTCACTCTGTCACTATGTATACCAGACATGCCAACATGATGAACAGAATACTTGAAAACAGTAATATACAAAAGTAAATTATTCTTTGCTGTTCCCCTACCTCTTGTTTTGGTAGAATTAATTTTGGCATCCTGGCTAAAGATGATGTCCAGTTTCTCCATCAGATTTAGCATGACCTCTTTACTATCAGCTGAGGAACATAAAAGACAGCAATGAACATTTGTATGTAGGAAAAATTGTATGGCTGTGGGGCAGGATGCCTGAATGATCAAAAAAAAAAAAAAAAAGATTAAATACTTAAAACACTTTACCATGAAATCGCCTTCTCCCCCTTCCCCCAACCCCCATGTTAAATCAGGTAGAAAAGTGTGATAATATTAAGGCTTAATCCAATTTAAATAAATTATTTTCTTGTAAATGTTAAAACAATCATTACATGCATCATTTACCTCCTCCTCTTCCCATAGTCTTAAATTATGCTCCATTATATCCAGATGGGAAAAAAAAAAAAAAAGGCAGAAATGTTTCTTAAACATTTGAAATTTTGGGTTTGATTATATTCAGAGGTAAAAGTCACTAAAGAAACCTAGGGGAAAAAAAAATATCTTAGAAAGCATTATGGGATTTTGTGTAGCAAACTTAATTAAGAATTTTTTTTTTGCTAGGTTACCAACAATGTTTTGTTACAAGCTTAAGGTATAAGATTATTATAGCTCTCTGTTGTGCTTGGAAGCAAAGAAAGAACACTTGCAAAGAACAATCTTGTTATTACAATTAATTACAAATGTACAAATGAGTGATATATCAGACCCTGTCTACACTGCATAGTCATGAATTTATAATCATTTCACTATACAGAGTTATTAAAAAGCATGCTTTGCATCTACAGTAGCTTGATACCACATCACAGTCATGAGTAGTTATGTTTATTCATGCACAGCTACCACCAGCCAGAGCTACACGTATGTGTCAGTGCATTTTAGCAAAATCTGCATCAACCAGTAATACAGGTCTCTTCAGCTAGCATTTCTTTTAAGTGGACAGACTGGAAGCAAGACAGGAGAAGGCAAGCCAGAAACACATGGATAGCAAAGGGCAGGCAGCAGTCTTCAGCCACTGGCCATGCTGGGTCAGTTGATGTGGTGACAATCACCCAACACTGAACTGCTTAGCAATACATCCCGTTTATTCATGCATCCTTACTGTCCCAAAACACCAAACCGCTTTTGCCAGGGAAGGGGTGAGGAATCCTCTCCCCATTGACAACATACATGCCTGAGGGAGAAACACCCTAGCCCTGGGCACTGCAAAGTCCCTGGCTGCTGGTGGGCCTCCCAGCTGGCAAGGACCCCCACTTTCGGTCTGAAGACTGCCAGTGCAAGAACGTTTCTGCAGCATAGCAACCTGTAGGACAATGAGCAACAGGACACTGATGAATTTTCCCAAGTAGAGAAGTACATCTTAAATCTTCTCCTCAGAAATCTCGGTTCATCTGGCTGAGTTATTGGATCACAGAGAGGCGCCAAGTCTGGATCTCCAGTAAGGGTGTAATACAGACAGCTACAGAAGAACAGAAAGTTCACAGGGTGTCTACTTCAAGACTGAGCCAAGTCACAAACCAAACAGAAATCCCTGCTATGGCTACAATGACACCGGCACATTTGTCCCTATAGACACAGACCTAACTACACAATGCTCAAAGTTCGTAACACTGATCTCAGGCAGGATTTAAAAATCACCACTCTGCTCTTCTCTCCCCAGGCCAGTAAAGGATATTTTGTTTTAACCTCACGCCTTCAGTTCATGCTTCTCCCTAGGAACATTTGTTTCACTCAGCTTTCCAAAGCCAGCCCTAGCCATAAGACTGGGTAACACCAGTCTCGCTGAGAAGTGTTTGAACAAACCAAAACCACTGCAGCTCTGAGCATGTAACTTGCCAGACAGTTTTACTGGTTAGAGAGGGAATTCCAGTCTTTGACTCACTGGTAAGTAAGTGTGTTCCCACGCCATTTCCTCATCCACACAATTCTCTCATCCTGGACTGTTTGCTAAGAAAGACTGAGATTATTTGTGTTACACTCCATGTAGAGGAACTATAACATACAGATGTATAATTATATAATGATGAGATGCTCCAGTTCCAAAAGCCATGAGTTCAAAACAAAATTATCTTGGTTTTAAAATCCACCTTCCCTGGTTCACAAGATGAGCCATCTCATGGCCTAGATAGGCTAGATGACACATTACAGTTTGTGTTATGATTACATATATTACCAAGCACATACTCAACAGAAAGGGCTACTAGGGCTGCTGCCCACACTTTTCACGACAGCTGCAGGCACAGAATCATAGAATAGTTAGGCATCACGTTCTCCTCCTAACTGATGTGAGACTGGTATAAGAACTCAATATGACATGCATATTTTAAATTTCTGGGCAACACTGGCAGTTTGAAAACTTTTTAATTAGTGAACACAACTGACTGGGTACACATATGCTGCAGAGCTGGCTAAACCACCTTGGGTACTAAAAGGCAGACTTGGCTTTCCGCAGTAACTTACCATTGCAGAGAAGTAATCTAAGGGCAAACAAGCATACTTTTCAGTGGGATAAATGAGTACATGCAAACACCTCTACTTCATCAGCTAGACTGCCAGAAAGACTTGAATTGGCTTGTCTAAAGCTAGATGTGGTGCCCCTGAAACTGGCAACATAGATCTAACCTTTCTGATTTTTTTGAAACTTCACAAGCAGAGCAACTCCCACCTCACCATCCCGCCTGTGGAGAAGCAGGGAGCCATCACTACAGCAAACGTGGCAGAGCTGAACTGAAAGAGAGGAGAGAGGTGGTACTGGGATGCTGCCCATGGGGCCTGCAGAGCTGTGTGTGCACTTCTGATCCTGGGGCAGCAATAACGTGATCAGTGCTCTATCCTGCTCTCTTGGCAATACACACGCTTCAAAAAAACATGTTTCCATTGTGACCAGATATTCATTTTAATAAACAAACTTTAATAAACAACTAAAAAAATACCCCAAACAGATCCTCTCACACAGCACTCCCCACAAGCCCATTTCGGAGAACCACTCTCATGGGCCAGCAAGCAAGGTCTTCCCAGGCCAGGCACCAAGCAGGAACAGAGCCTGCTGCAGCTGCTGGGCAGGAAGGGCTGGGCCCACTGGGGCTTTGAAACAAAACAAACAACTTGTTTGGCAGATAGCTATTTCTTCATGTACTGGTCAGCAGGAGGCATCATGGAAGTTGTCTGGCTGGTGACTTGAGCCAGCTTGCTGTGCGTCAGTGAAGAAGGCAAACCTTAAGCTGTACCCAAATCTCTTAAGAATTATAATGACATGGCTGGTACTTGATCGAGCCATCCTTTCTCTGTTGATGTTGTTGCTGATATTTTAAACCTAATTCAGCTTTTGCCACGACTCACTCATGGCCAATATCCTTAATCTACAGTCACTCGAGGATGATAATTCAGCTTTATTATCCATGTTCCCTGAGCTTGCATTTTATAAAGTATAAGCACACTCAAGAAAGAATGAGTCCTAAAATAGCCAGACATATACATTTCCACCTTCTCTTCAGGAAAGCAGTTCAAAAATATAGGTCCTACAGGTCCTTGTAACACTTAAAATTGCTAAACTAAACCTCTTGATAGCAGCAGGCAGTATCTTCAGAAACAGCTGGGGTTTTATCTTAGCCTCTCACATCAAGCTACAACATACCATCAACTGTGTTCATACAAGCACTGCAGTTACAGAAGACATAGCATGAACCAAACAGAGCACAAATTCCAGCTCACATCAGCAGAAGTCTTTGAAACTGCTCATCCAAAGCCAGCACATATTATGAATTCAATAAAAACAACTGAGACCACCACTGGAGTTATTACAACTGGCTACCACAAACAAGAAGTAAACATATATTCAAATTCTGGGCAACAAAAGCTATTACTAAGAATACTTAAGTTGTTCTCATACTTCATTTCCTACACTGTGCTCTCTGCTTAATGATTTCAGGGTCTTGACTCTGTGTGGTGCTGGGGTACCTCAAAAACTGGTCAAAACCCAGAATGAACTGATAGAATCCAGAACACTACAGGATCACACCTTTTCTATGATATTATTAAACACTGAATTCTCTGATAACCTTCCTTAAGACTACAACAATAATTTGCTGTTTCTGTGCTTTCAGTAGGAGTCCCCACTATGTGCGTGTTACTTGATTATTTATAAACATAGCCTTTTATTAAAAACACAGCCTCTGCTGTGCTCAAAATTAATTCTACTTGGTTGTAACACAAATGAGGTTTCAAATGTGTGAAATATATGGCCAGTTACAAGACAAAATGATGGCTAAACTTTGGCAAGTAAATTGGATGACAACAGTGCTGCCCCTGCCAGCACTGGAGCCGAGCTCGAGGCCTGATTCACCACTTTTCCACACTAGTCATGGGCTGGAACCAGCTCTGGGCAACTCAGATGGGGCTTTTTTCCAACAGGAAAACTGAGTGTGTCCTGTGCTTGAGAGGAGTATCATTACTGCCTATCATGATGGGGTCCAGCATGCTATACCTTATCTCAGAGCCATGTGCGCTCTCTCTCTTTGCAAATTAAGCCACCTTCCTAGAAAGGTCTTGATGCTGCTTGCTGTTAAGACAAATGGCCCCAGAAGAGAAGCTCTGAAAGACAGCTGATGTGCAGACATGAAAGGCAGACATGCAAATGACAGGTTTGTGGGGTGGCACTGCCTGAACTGGGAATGTCTAGAGTTTCCAGTCCACCCCGGACCACAGAAACCTGTGCTGCCTCTTCCCTTGCTCCCTCAGAAAATCACCAGACTCAACTGTTACAGAGAAGCTAGCCCTTGCCCCTTTCCAGCTACCTATTCCCTGCCCCTTTCCCCAGTTCTCCTTTCTCACAACCTACCTAGTTCTCTGCACTCACTCTGCCCTATCCTCCACTCTCCCCTATCCTCCACTCTCCCCTCTCAATTCTCCCTCCATTTTACACGCCACTTGCCACCAATGAAATGCTGTCAAGGCAATCATCTTTTCCACCCCTGCTCCAGCACTGCCCCATGCCTCTTTTGACCATGCTGGGCTCCCCTGGGTGCTGTGTCCTGGCTACACATAGACATGCTGCGGCATATTGCGCCAGTTTGTGCAGGCCTGCAATTGCACAAAGCAAAGGGCAGAGGTGGCCATGAAGAGATCACCCTCCCCTTGCCCATCTAGCCAACATCATCCTCTGACCACAACCTAGACTGTCCTGTTCCCATGAGCCAGATCTTCCTCGTGGCTCAAAGTAAGCATTATATTCTTCATAAGGCTGAGAAGAGGAAGGGGAGAAAGAAACACAATCTTTCAAATGGTCACAGAGAAGGAAGAAGAGCTGGATGGAGTATTTCTCTCAACCCCTTCTTCAGCCACTAAGGCTCTCCTGTTTCTCTATTAACATGTAGAGCTCTTACGCCAGTGTAAAAGTGTCTTCAATTTAATAAACTGGTTAAAATTACTAATTTAGCTCAAATAATTCACATTTATGCAAAATAACAGTCTGTGCAGTAACTTGCACTGAAACAAAACCCCAGAAGTTCATACCAATTTGATCACTTTTGTTCAAGCTTGTGTGCTTCTGAGGATTTTGTTCAAGCTTGTGTGCCTCAAGGGTTACTATCCCACAGCCCTGTTTCTCAACAGATGCAGGGCAACTAAGCAAACTGCAGTAAATGCTGAACAATGTGGCAAGGACAAGCACCCTTACACTGCCAGCTGTAAAAAGCAGTGAAATAAAATGCAAAGAAAGGAAAAGCTGACACAGTACTGAATTCAGCAGAGAAAAGGCAGACAAAGAGCCAAATGAAGTGATACTGCTTTTTCTGCAGTGATCACACCAAGAATATCATGACTGTCCGCAAGTACTGTTTTCACCAGTTCTGTGAGCAGAAGGAATATTAGCCCCATTTTACAGGCAGTCAGAAATTAAGATCTAAACCGTCTCAACGTGTCTAAACGCCAATTCTTGCTAGTACTACGCATTGCATATTCTTTGAGTGTTCACAGGATACAACTTCTAGCAGCCTTTGGTGCAGATGCACATGTGCAGTCCTAAGAGAACCCAAAAAATGGGGAAAACAATGGAAGAGCTACAACAGGAACACTTTAGCAACCACAGACATATTTATTTCCCCATCTCCTCTTCTACATTTTCAAGTGGGAGAACAAAGCATCCTGCACACTGGAAGATCTGGATCAAAGAGCTATGATGGTCACAAGTCACAACTCATCACCCACCTGACAACTGTAGCTATTTACGTACAAATTAGAAGTGCTGACCTGGCCACTATTAAAAGATTGATGTAAATGGCTTATCCAGCATCACACTCCTTGGCAGAGAATCAACTTCTCCAAAGCAACATTCAGCTGCCTTAACAATGAGATGATGTCCTCCCTTCTTGCATTCACAGGAACACAGGAGGGTAAGAGTTCAACAGACAACACTCTCCTTCAGCATGCACTCTAAGTCATCCCCAGAGCAGACTCATTTAATACACAGAATAAAACCCAATCATCCTACAGAGAGGGGGTAAAGGTATGGATCTATTTTAAGATTATTACGAAGCAATAGATAGATGTATGGATGGAATTAAGATTGCACAAGCATTTCCTAATTCTGGCATTTTGTAACCTTTGAGTGCTTAACTTAGCCACTTTAATATCCTTTCACTCTGACCATCTGTGCAGTGTCTGTCTGCACCTGTATGTAAGGCTGCCTCAAGGATCCTGGAGATGCTAGGCACCATGTCTCAATTACCCAGAGGATTTTAAATCACATGCATAAATCTGTGTTGCATGAATCCAGTCTTTTTGCGCATGTGATACACAATCCACTGCACAAGTAGAGCTTAACTGCGTGATGGAAGCTGCCTGTCAGGAAACATTTAGGCGTAGATGCAGAGACACCAACTTGCATGTACACCAGCTTACTGTGTTGCATGGTCATTATGTTTGCATTTTATATGTATATAATTAACAGACACATGTACATTTATGCATGTATTTAACAAGTAAAAAAAAATTTATGAGGAAGTGGGCAAACTGACCTCCACCAACTGGCTACTCATATCGCTGTTTCCCCAAGGGAACAAATAAAAGGAAGTTCTACTTCCCTCTTCCACAAGGGATTCATTCACAGCAGTAGCTGTTTTTCTCTTGGATATGTATTGCAATGTTATCTTTAATATTCTACTCCAATATTACAGTAAAATGCTCTGGGACTTTTAAGACCAATGCAAAACAGTGAGGCAGAACATGAATACAGGAAAGATAGGATGTAAAATGTGACAGAAAGGGAAACTCAAATGAGATGATGTGAAAACCAGAATGTCGGGTCTAGACATCAACTCAAGTCAATGGCAAGAGGCCCCTCTCTTGATAGTTTCTATATCCTTCATACCTGCTACAAGAAAGAGCTGTCTGCCTGTGGTTAAGTTCCGTCTTCTCAAACACAAAACAGTGTGCTATACATCACTGGTGTCGTCATTTGTGGCACAAAAGCTACTGTGTAGAAATGTGTCTTCAACACTAAAGAACTTAACCTTGTCTTTTCTGAAGCAGGCACAGTTCAGGTAAATACGACACAGTTGAGGAAAAGTTATCCAGAAATTACTTTTATGAACTTGGTAAGCAGCCATCTGTCCACAAACAATCACAGCCTGCCCCTAAGACAAGGCTCCTTTATGGCTGAACTTGTCTGGCATCATGCCCTTTGTTTGCTGACTGCTGAATTATGGCTCACAAATTCATCCCATGTTCTTTCTGCCTTCCCCAAACTGCTTGTACCTATTATCTGTTTGACCAAAAAGAAAAAACAACAAAAAACTGAAATGGTTGTGCTTTGGTTTTTAGATCTTTATTCTCTTTATGAACTAAATATTCTTTTTATTTATTTGTTTTGACCAGCAACCAAACCAGGACCTTCCCCATCAGCTTACTAAAAATCTTGCCCAGAACTCTGAGGACACCAACCATTTTGCATATACATCTTGGCATGTACATGACTTCCAAGTATGAAAGTGTAAAAAGCAGTAGTCTCTGATTAAAAAAGAAGTGCAATCATACATGAGTAAGTGTATGATGAATGTTCTTTCCTATAACCTCAAAGAAATTTTATCTTCATCAAGATGTGAAGTAGCCAAACATTATGGAAGCACTAGTAGCTGGAGAGGTACCACCAAGGAGAGGTATCACCAAGGAGAGATATCACCAAGGTTCCTTTCTCTCACTTTTCACTGGAATCATGTACTAGAAGATTATCTTACTTGTACTAGAAGATTATCTTACGTGTCCATATTTCACTTCTTGCTCAGAGGTAACTGCACCTAGGATATTTAGTATACAGAGGTCCAAATGCAGAATACATAAAATGTGCTATTCCCATGCAAAAATAATCAACAGTATCATGATCCTCCTCTTGCCCCGCCTGCTCCCCTCAAAACCCAAACAACAAAAACCCCAACAAAACACCAGAGCCTTTTGAACAATAGTATCGTATGTCAGACTGTTCTGGATTTAGCGAGTTGTTGGAAAGGCTGACTCTTAACAGTAATAAAAACTAAGTGTAGAACACATAAATCCAACTTTGGGGGTCCTTTATAAATCTGTGTAATTCCTCGTAAACGGATTACATAAAATGAAGAGATGAATGAGACGCAGAGAAGGAAACGCTACTATACTAAAGTCTGTCACTTCTCAAACATTTTCAAGGCACAATATAGGTGGAAGTGGCAAGAATGAAACTCTACCAAATTAGAAAAAAAGTGAAAGAATGTAATGGCAAACACTCACATCAGTAGTAAACCTGTGATACTAACTGCTATAGTATCAGCATCTGATTAATTCTGTAAATCAGTTCAGCTTTAGCATTTAAAAGGTCAGGCTCCAAAATGCATGCAAGCTAGAACTGAAAGGCAAGATCCACTGCAGACACATGATACCCAGCACGTGTATAATACGATGCTCTGTATAACAGGACACAAATGTAAATAGAGTCACAGATCTGTGGAAAAGGTTTCTGTCACCCAGGCTCAAGAAGAAAATTCATTAGTTTGCAGTGACAGTAAGCTCTTGTTCAACACATGGCACAAAAGCCAGTAGCAAACAGAGCAACACCAAGCCTTAAGAATACTCAGGAAGTAGTTTCCAAGGCAAAGGAAAGGGGGACAGTTGGTTTCACTACCTTATTTGAGAAAAGCCAGATAGATTTGCTACAAGAACCTTTTGTGTAATTGTTGACTAAGAAGTATATGAATGACTACCTTTGTCTCTTCTGGCTTTCCAAAGTGTCTCCTGGAGAGAAAGTCACAGACTCATCATTACTGACCAAAGAAAACCAGAGACAAAAGCATTTTCTTCCAAGTATGCCCTAGACCTTCAAGTAACATTAACACCTTAATAAAAATAAATGCAGAAAGTTAAACAGCCCTCAAAGAAATGTGCATATTTCCAATTTAAAGAAACAAAAATTTCCCTTCAGACTCACACTTAGGAAAAATGTGTATTTTCCTACAAGAGGCCTAAAGAAAAGGCTTCAAATGCCTGACCACAGGTAGTATTA